ATACCCAGTCGGTGCACTTTTTTCTGGAAACGTTCGACTCTTGCGAGAGTGAGAGAAGGAAAAAAGCTCGTCGTCGGAGACCCTGGACATCCATTCTAGAACGGATGTGGGTGATGAGTCGAGAATAACGGAAGTGAAATAGACATTGGATGGATAGTAGCGGCTGGCGAGGGGAGCATCCCTCCTCGGAAGGAAAGTGTCGGGTTCATCGAGCCCCACGACGTACTTTTGTAGAAGCTATGTAGAAGCTGAAATCAACCCATTAGACTAGTCAGCCGCTGACTAGTCTATCTAATGGGTTGATTTCAGCTTCTACAAGCCTCAAGCGGAAGCCCTGGCGCCACAGTCGCAGGGGGTGCCGCCATGGAGATATGTAATCAAAACGCAGAGAAGGAAGTGATAGGAAAGAAGGTAGGCGCGAGGGGAGGGGAAGGATGCGCAACACATCACGATCCACACTGGCTGCGAAGCAGCAGAAGTTGGTAGTGAAAAGTCATAAAAACGACATGGTACAGCTTAAAATTCGCACACGGCTGTGGGAAAAAAAATGATATCGTTCATTTGAAGTGGACATGGATGCTCTCGCCGTCATCCCGCAAATGCGCTGCCAAGCAGGTAACATGGCGGCGATACAAGGATACCAGTGGAACACCGGAAGTGTGTGTGGTGTTCAGGAATCATGATATGTCACAAAAGGGCCAAATTTCCCACTATTATTATACATTACGTTGCCCCGCCGGTCCTTGGCCGGTCTGCAGCTTTCGTTGTTTCGGCATTTGGCGAGAATGACTCTACTTGTATCATCCAGAACTTGTTCGGCGAGATCCAAAAGCTTCATGGTCATCTTACACGTCATTCAGTGCATGAGTGCACACATACATGCAGAAATCCTTTCGGATACTCCTACAGTCCTTTCGCGAAGTTCGGCCAACAATACATGCAAGGAGACCTTCTTTTTTTTTTCTCCCATCATTGGACTCTGTCGTCTGCCCCTCTGGCCCCTATACTCCACTTCTACTAGCTAGACGACCCAACCGGGGTCACATAGGAGGGGGGGGCTGGACCCCCTCCTGCGGTTCCTGCCTGAGGTATTTTTATCGCGAGAAGGGTACAGCAATCCCTTCCCTCGCGACTTACGAAGTCGATTATGGTTTACTAACAACGAGCAGTGCAGCGCGTCGCTTTCATCCTTGACCAGGATTTATTTAGTGAGAAAAAACTCACTCTGCCGAGAGTCGAACCCATGACCTGGCCCTTAGCAGGCTGCGAGGTTACCCACTAGACCACCGGGGCGACCGGACAATGTACTGTTGCGACAAATGACTGCAAATAATTGGTCAATAGGTGTATTTACGCTGATCGGAATGCATATTCTGCTCGTACAAAGGTATTTACGCTGATAGGAAAATAGACGCGACCCAACTTCCCTTATGGTTTGCTGGAAAATAGTTGTTTTTTGGTTTTGCGCTGATCGGTCGATTAGCCGCGGCCCATATTCCTGTATGTTCTACTGGTAAATATATTTTGGTATTTCCCGGTTGTCCTGCTGGTACGTTTCACCACGGAACCAGGGTCATTTTTTCGCCCGACAAATTCGACACACAAAACTTTTCTGAAGTATCTGTGTATCTGTGTATTGAAGCTGGTCGGTCGAATAGCCCAAAGTCTGGTGGTCCTGCGTTCACTCGCTTGAAAATGACCGGTTAATAATTGTGACTTGATTAATGATTGGGTAATAAAAGTATGACTTAATTTCTTCCGGAGTGGCCCCAATTGGCGTCCTTCCCCTACTGGATCTTGTTTCGATGTCCCGCCCCCTGCGTTGTTAACCGCCAGTTGTGAGCTCTGCAGAAAAGGAGAAACGGAGAAGTGCAACCTGGTCCGTGAAGCCATCATGGAGGCACCAGCAGAGTGGTCCCGGCGACAAAACAACGACGACGAGGAGACCACAAAAGAGAGGGAGATGGAACTCATGTTCACTTGAATTAGGAACCCTCTACCATATGGATCAGTCGCCCTGATGCGTGTTCGCCCAAAAGAGTACCGAGGCCAGGACATAGTACCTGTTTCCATCGGTCGCAAGGCTCCGTCCGACTACACGAAACAAGGTTTTCGTGTGATTGAGAGCGAAGTTTCTGATTGAGAGCGAGATTGCGCGACGCGCTGTAGCTGGACTACCGCTGAAAGGTGGAGCTTGCTGCGAGACTTGAATTGAAGGCCTAGCCCGTAGCTACAAGCCGATACCCTGGTCATCCTGTGGGCGTCTCTCGTTGTGGAGCTACAGCGGGGAGCAGAATCTACAGCAGAGCTCACCGCCCGCGATCAAATCGCCCTGAAACAGTTTGAGGCAGGAATAGCCAATCTGGGGAAATCTAGCAACTTGTCTAGTCTAGCTCCTAGCTGCAGCATCCGATCGCGATGACACGCATATGCTCGTGACGCTGCTGATGAGCCCTTCAATTTGCGCCGCTTCTTGGAAGAGCCCGCCCCCTACTTCCCAAGAAATGGCAAGAGGCGTCTGGACCCGAAATTTCAATTTTTTTGGCTCCCGCTCTCAATCGTATACTCTGCTCTCAATCAGGCGAAAACCCTGTTACGAGTAGCTTTACGAAGGATAGCATGTTTTCTGAAGGCGATGTGATGGTGTGGATTCACGACGTCTTTGGCCACGTACGGGGCGTAGAGTATGACGTGCCTAATGTTCTTCGAGTCGACGAAAACAGAACGGTTTCGCTCATCTCTCTTGCACGAGGGCTAGGCCAGGGAATAGAGGGGTACATGGAGGAAGTGTCAAGAGCCTCTAGGACAAGTTTGACCAGAAGATATCGAATGTGTCGTGGCGTAATAGAGAGTGCTCGCTCCAAGGTCGTCATGTCGAAGCGCCCACAAGATGGTTTCGTTGATTTCCGGCCCGCAATAATGCGAAAAATTGACCGTAGGTGGGCCCATGTCCACCCCAGCCTTTTTGAAGCGGGTGCAATAGTGGAGAAAGGGTTCAAAGCTCCACTGCAGGGGAGGGATACAGCGTGGAGAGGTTTGAGAGTGATTCAGGCAAGGGTTGTCGACGTAATATCGTCCCCCGAAGAACGACGCCATCGCTATGAGTTACAGTGGACTGGAGATTCACGAGTTCTGACATTGGCTGCCGTTCCGCGTAATGTCGATGAGGGTTACCTCGAGCGCTGCGAACGGTCGTCGTCCTGGTCGAGTCGACGATAGACTAGATGTCCACCGAGTTACCTGAGAGATGTACGCACCTGTCTCCTGTGTGCACGATTGTGGCAGGATGAGTGCTGGCGTAGTCATAGCCCCGGCTGCAGGCGAGGCTGTGGTGCAAACGAGCTTGGAGTACAGAGTAGTATAAGTATTTAGCTCCTCGGTCGATCAGGAACAGTAGGGTCCCCCTTTCGTTTAGTTTTTAAACAGTGTTGCTCTTCTGCAGGATGTAGCCTCGATGCGTTGGCCGCCAAGTTTCACACGTCACGTGCACAGGAGATTGCTGGACGGTTGAGTGAGGCCTGTGAGGTGACATTGGTGGCATGTGTATTGATTGCTGGACGGTCGACTGAGGGTAGGGTTGTCGTGTGATATTCAGAGGTGTCATGTGCATGCGGCTGTAATGATTGTGTACCTTCGCCTTAATTCCACACGTCTCGTGCATAGGGTCGCTACCCCTGTAGCATGTGTGATGGTGGTGCTACAAGGTGCTACAAGAGAAAGTCGTTTTACTGTAAAAATGTGATCAATCATCATGCGTAAGGAGAATATTATTGGCTTTACTTCCACAAGACCGTCGGTGCTTCATGGAGTCTGACATGTTTAAAGACTAGACCACTCGGCGATCGAACCACAAGTTTCGGTGGTGTGCGATATTTCGCGTCGATCAGCTTCTTGCATATCGGGCAGAACAGGGTAGAGCAGCTACTCTGGTAGTACAGCTACTCGAAAACAAGTAGCAGCAATTGTGCCTATTACATAGCAATGACACGGATATCGAAGCGGCAGTTCAATATGGGCCCATACACGTGACCCCCCGACCGTAGCATGGCTCTGCCGGTAGCGACGGTCAATCAATGTGGAACTTGCTTTAGATTGTGGGAACGGGTCCCACCCACCCTACAAGGCAACACGCGCAGAGAAAGACTACGACAGTGCTGCTATTTCGCACCATCAAGGTGATGGATTCATAAGCAGTGAAATAGTTGAAAGCACGCAAACGTTCAAACTGCTGCAGCAAAAATAGGCACTGCACGTCGTGGAGGCGCGCATCCAAGACCAATTTTATTACTCGAGACCTTCCACATGGCCGGGTGCGTGTCATTTTTTCCAGTCGTTCATCCCTGCTGCTCTCACCACGGCGGGTTGTTGCACAAATGACGCTGAATGAGTGAAACTTCGAACATTTTTCCTCCACCCGAACTTAAAGCTAGGGACCAGACGAAAACCCGCAGTACCTTCGGGTGAATGTGGTATGGCATCTCCGAGCACCAACCAACTGCCTCCTTTCGTGGGTGGAGCGGTAGCCTTCCGTACGTAGTGAGTGGTACTGCAGCAAAGGATTCAGGCATAGTGCAGCGCGGTCCCCGAAAGCTCGATGAATGCGCAACCCTTTTTTTTTTCGGATACGCGGAAGAACTGCAACGTGAAGGATGCTTTTATTGTATCCCCTTCACACTTTTCAGCACACAACAGTAGTTCAATATATATATGGCCGAAAGCGCACGTCGAACGGATCCTCATCTTCAAGATCGCCTCACCGGTGCCGTCAGCACGGCAGACTTCTCTGGTAATATTTTTTTCTCCGCCTCGCCTTCGAAACGCCCCCAACGAAAAAGCCCCATATGCATTTATAATTTTATACCGAGCCTTGGGTCTGGAGACTCCGTTGGAATGCAGCTGACGCATACCTCTGTAGTAGCTTTATCTACCGCAGGTGCTGCAGCTCCCCTTGGCTTCCTTGAGCACCGTCGACATGATCGTTGGAGAGTTTCGAAATAAGTTGCTTGTGAAGAAGACTTGAGAAGAATTGGTGTGATGCGGGTGAGACATAAATGTAACGGGGGCGCGCGTGCGATTGAGTACAGAACAATGAACTGTGCATGATCTGCAAGTGCAACAGTGGAATGTATATTCGCCCTCCTGCGGCACCGGTGTCAATAGTGGGAAACGTGCCTGCCCCTTTTTCACTTCCCGGTATCTTGGTGGTGTTTCTATTCCTACGTAAGGGTGGAGACGTTCGAGAGAGGTACCGCATATTACTGCAGATGACCGCTCCGTTCTTGCGGTTTATTCCCTCCGTGTTGTGGTGGACCTCAGGAAGTCCGAACATCACGGTCAAGTCTAGAGGTTGCCGAAATGCAGTTGTGTTTCGATTGGGAAAACCACCGTGTTCACCATCAAAGTTGACGTAACACGCCAAATCGCGGCCTCTGGTGCGGAGCTAGCTGGCCTGCTCGCTCGCCCTAACGTTGTGTGCTAACCTCTTGGTCACGTGCCACCGCGATACCTCCCAGAGTCTCTGGGCTACTACTTCGGTCGTTCGTTGCGGCTTGGCCTATACGACGACATTGTCGGCGAGAGTCAGCGACATTTTTCTCATAAGGTGTGATCTAATTGGGTGTTTTGGACGGGGTGTTCCGTCGTTCACTATTCAGGGCCCGGACGCAAACCCTGAACATCTACATAGGGTCCATGTCCATGCACCTCTCTTCCACAGCCAAGTGATTGTATACTTTTTCCCAACAAAGACAAAAAACACTCCGTCTACAAATGCACAAAAACACTCCGTCCACCACATCCCGTTCGACTGTGGGTATACCTCGAATGGGTAGTCTTTCTGTACGTGTATTTATTTCTCCTTAACACCTCAGAAGGATAGATTGGTTTAGCTTGCGGCGTGTTCCTTGCTTCGAATGCAATGTAGCTGCTTTTTTCTTCTAGAGATGTTCCTGAACAGTAGCCTCTGTTCAACAATGTAGCGAAAGTCCCACCACATCCAACCCGTACAAGCGGTAGCATTTGGAACCTCCTTATCCGTCTATGCATTGATACCGTTCACACCCCCGTCAGACTGGTGCACACGACCCCTCACACGCCGCTCTATTTCAGTCTGCTCAGCCGACCCATTTATCTACAATGTGAATGAAACCGCTGTACAGTCACACTTTCCCCCCGTTGAACCCTCCAAAAATACAGCGAGAGGAACGATAACATTAGCTACCCTGCAAAACGACGACCTGGGCCCTTGTGCATCGACGAGACATCCCATACCCTACGCACGGAATAACAACCACCGCAAAACATCAATCCTGCTTCACCTACGCATTGCTTCACGAGCCGTGACTTTCCTTCGACGGAAAGGCTGCCGGGGTCCCCATAACGACTTTCGGCATGTCCGTATATCCAAGCGCCCCCCGAGAGCGATTGTACTCTTCACGCGGCCGTTAGCATCTCCTTGAACTGCGCGAACCCTAGCTGTCCCGCCCCGTCGACGTCAAGCGTGTCGATGATAGCCTCGATGTCGACGTCCAGGCCGAAGTCTGTCTTGACGATCTTGACGATCTTGCCGACGTCCGCGGACCCAGTCTCGTCAGGGTTTCCACCGCAAGCCACGAAAGCGTCGACTTTGGCAGAGCAAGCGAGGGGACCGGGTGGGGTGCGTAGGACATCAGAAACAATATTCCATGACCGGCAGAACGAAAAGAAGACCATAGTGTCAGTAAATAGTGGCATATTCAGTTCCACCATCGCTCCATCCATGTCAAAATACTGGCCGGACCTGCGAGAAGGGTCCTGACAAGGGCTCCGATGTGGTGCCAAATCAAGATTCCTCCACGGCGCTAATCCTCACTGTACTTGCAAGTATATCCGACCGCGCCAGCCTCCCCGCTCATCTCATCTGGCTTTCACAAAAGAATCAATGACAAGTTGTTGTTGTCGCCACAAGGGGAGGATGCCTTCTCGGTGCGCCAGTTCTTGCTGTGCAAATTGCCGTCGGAAAGTCCATATCCGAAGAAAAATGAAAATCAACCAATATGCGGGGTCCTTCCCCAGCTCGCGCGAGCGTCAATGAATCCCATTGAAATTGGAAACCAGCTGCCAAGAGCGGTAGTGCGGACGGACGTGGTAGCCCCCATCCGGGGTAAGCTACATACAAAACTTGTTGTTTGCCGTTTTCCCGAACGCCAATGCACAGTCTCCGCTGGAATTCAGGAAAGAGAATGCTCACGCCCATACTCGCGAGTGGCCAAGACAAGTTGGTGCTGGTACGGTATCATTTCTTTCACTGTTGGTGTTGTCGTTTTGGCTGTGCAAATATTGTTGTTGCTGTTGGTGGTGGTGGTATTGAGTCGGAAATGTGCGATTCAAGCACGAAACGGCTCTGAATCTACCCCGATCATGAACGTTATTATCCCAGTGCTACCGGTTCAGATACACTGTCAACTCCACACCCCTGCCTGACCCCGTCAATCAAGGCTCGTAGACCGATGGCATTGATTCGCACCTAAATCTCCGCTGTCGCCAGACCAGATGCTCCGAACGCTCTTCTGGCTGGCGACAATCTTCAAAAAGGAGGTGAAGTCTGGGCCAGGAAAACGAGGCAATGGAAACGCGGGAGGAGTTGAGACTGCCGAGGCAATGAGGGAGGAGGTGTGGTGCTCTGAGTGCCTTCCATCCGACCAGGCGAATGGAATCAATGGGTGTCTCCGACTCCGACAGCGAGAACGAACAAGGAAAATTGAAGGAGGTGGAACGAGATCATCCACAAAGCCGATGAGGGGTCGGATAACAACCGGTCCGCAAAGGGAGCGGGCGTTCGTACTCTTCAGCCACACACCTACACAAACGCGCGCCATTAGTGGCCGTGTTACCATAGGCTTGAAGAATGTCGCTCGACTACGTAGCCTAGGAACGCCGCGGGACTAGCTCAAAACGTCGAAACAAGAGTGCGTCGGCGTAAAGTTGAGCGGTCTGAACTTTTGACGCCGACTGCTGTCGCTCAAATACGTGCTCGTCCACCGCGTCCGGCCAACGTCCACCATAAGAATAGCTCCGAGGCCTTGAGGGAGTGGTGCCACTATCGACCTTTCCCTTGAAGAACAAAATAAAAAAGGTAGAGCCCTTATCCACTCGGCCCGATCATCGATTTCCAGTCCTGATGCTACTTTATGGCTCCGAGGTATTACGGGCACTACCCTTACAGATATGCGTCCATATTCCATCCATCCCTGTCCATTATCGTCGCCACTCGACCCATACTGGAGCAATAAGCTCACGATCGGCATCATGAGACAATGCAATGTCACCAATTACTCGTCCGCGAAAGACTTTTCTCCCCGACCTTCCGGTATAGAGAGTATCCGAGTTTGAACCCTGACTCCCCTTCCCGCAGGCAAGCCAATACTGCCAACCGCGGCCGAAGATTGCATAGAGGCGGCTACCCGAGAACAGGCCACGCAACGCCTGCCCTGTTGCTCACGTCCAAGGCCGCTGGGGGAAGCACGAAGGCATACCTTCCCCTGTTGATGGTGAAAAGTCGATAACGTGTGTGCTTGTGCCGGTGCTGCTGCTGCTGTCTTCGGTGCCGTGGTTGTTTGAGCTATTGCTAGGAAACTGGGGTGCCCAACAGCCAATCGACATACAAGCAGACATGAGTGCCCGTACCCCACGCCCGATTCAGTGCACCCTGCCGTCTCGATAATCCATAATGGAACTCGTCCGCCTTTCCGCAAGCTATTTGGTGACACGGTAGCACAGTAGCCGACCATCTCAACCAAACCGCAGCAACCTAGGTCCCGGGGGGAAATTCTGACAATATTGCGGATGGATGAACCGACCACCGCTTGGGTGGCCCGCAGAGCGTCACTTGGCTAGAATGAGTGTGCCAGAACCACCGCGGAAACAACATAAAACTCTTACCGATGAGGCCCTTCATCTCCCGGTCCACCGTGCTAACCACCTCGAAAAATTCCTTGTCGGTGGGGTTCTGCCCGAGCTCTGCGATTTTGCCCGGGGAAGATACCCCGTCCGTTTCAGCGGCGCCGGCCACGCGTGGCGGCGTGACGATCGAAAACAAGGGCAGGGCAGGGAGGGTTGCGGGTCATCAGACCGTTCCCCAAGCATGAAAGATGTAGAAGATTCCCACGGGTATAAAAAAGGGATGGAAATGTCCTAGGTGAAGGAACGGATACACGTCTAGTAGACTAGATATCCCTGGCTGTATCGCTCTTGGCCCTTTCCGAGGCCGTTCTGGACCAACAGAGACTGCAGCTTAGCACCGTCTCGGCGTAGTTATCACAAGTCAAATGGGCGTGACCCCGTTTGTTTTGTTTGATTTAGCCAGGCAGCGAGTGCTTAAGGAGCTGGTGCTTGACGAGGCCTGGGCGAGGGAAGATGTAGTTGCTCCGTCTGTTTGCTCTTGTGGTAGGGCGTGGCAGGCAAATTATATCTATCCAACGATTCGGTGGATACTACAGACCATGAAAGGTAGAGGAGCATGGGGGTGGTTTTGATGTGTGCCCAGTCCTTCTTGCGAGCATCGTCGCAGCTTCAATCCCTCACAAGACGAAAACTTCCCGTCCCAGGTCGACTCATTGGGAAGAAACCATTGTCAACATTCCGGAATCCCACACTTGTCATCAGTCTCTCCCATGGAGTGCTATCCTTCGTTTCGCAACGCTTTTGGCCCAAAAGGATTTTCGGTACCTCTCCAAACCTTTGCCCAACAAGGCACGTAGGTTTTCTGCATAGCGGGTCGAAGAGTTCGAGGGCAGGTACGCCGGAGTTTTAATACAGCATGTCCGAGGTCACATTCCCAATCCTCGATGGCAACAACAAACCATGTGATTCACAGGTTTCTGTTTTTCTCGATGGATCCGTGGTGCAAGGAAGGGAAACTCCTTCTGCTTTGGTGGGCCCAAAGCAATATTGTATATCACCGAGTCTCCCGTACCCAATACGATGAAAGGCAGTGGCGACGGCAGCGAAAGCTGGGGACGTCTGTTCGTAGTTGGCGTTAGCCCGAGCCCGAACGAACGTCCGCGGTCGTCGGAACTCTCATCCGCTGCCATTCATTACTTCGTTTAGCCTTGCTCCGTTGGCCGAACTAAAGCCCGACCCACGCATTCTGCGCATCTATCTCAAAAACTGCCTCAGGGCTGTGGCGTAGACTATAGTACGCGCACGAATTTCGATCAAGCTCTGGCTTGCTCCACAACTTATCAAAAGGAGGGCTACAGACGATACTGGAGAGCGTGCCCTGGAATCATTCCAGAGGGCGGAGGTTCATGGGCATCACGAGGCATTGGCAACCCTGCTGTAGGCTCCAGGGCTGCTGCTACCGCGCTTGCTGAAGGTTGCTGCTGCGGGATGAAAGGCTTGAGACCTCTTGCACTGCTGCGCGTTCTGTGCTACGTATCAGGCCCCATTTCTTGAACTGTGTACGTAGCAAAACCTACTGTGAGCCACAAATCTTTTTGGACGACCCGCTAGGGATTGGCGCCAGCGGCTGCCAGTGTTGGGCCAGCAAGTGTCAAACGTTTGGATTTGTTGGTTAACTCCAGTTCACATTTTGCTGCCGCAGCACAGTACTGCTTGTACCGGTATTCCGGTATTTAGAAAACAACCGATTCCTCGTCTTCTTCGTCATCCACCCATCCGCATATTTCGCAGTAGAACAGTTATGCTCTTCCATGTGTCCTAGGGCAGTAACATGAGTGGTGGGTGTTTGTGTGCACCATCTCCGTTTAGGAGCGTAGCATCGGCAAGATTTCCAAAGGTGCTTCGAATTCCGCCTCCAAACTGGCTGTGATTGTATTGATGCGGCAGTGTAAGCCCCTCTCGAAATACCCCGAGTGGCTCGTCGCGCCAAGAGGGTGAGCGCTCTACGCGAGTAGGTCTTCTAATCCTGTACCGCATCCCACTCTTGTTGTGCTCAGACAGCTGGCGTTCGCTCAAATTCGGTCGCGGTGGGGCATAAGGGTGGCACTTACCCTGGAGAACGATCCGGAGCTCCCACACGTTGATGTTCCCCCGCCTGCCCACGTCCACCTCTCGAAAAGCCTCCTGGCAGGCATCTATCTCCTCCTGTGATAAAGACATTGTCCACACCCCACCACAGGGTTCACAGGAGGGTTTTCTCTGCCTTATGAAACACCTCCGTCGCCTGAACGCCCTGTGTACTAGACAACCCCGCAGGAGCCTGGGAACTGCTGCCCTCAACCGCCGTGGTTACCTACCCTGTACTCAACTTCCACCAAATCCCCTGAAAAAAGCTAGACCACCATGCCACTTCGCACAATCCACATGGTGTGTCCTGGTCAACCGTATCCGCTGTGATGTACTTCGCTCCACTTCGTCTGTGACACCGGGGTCGAGCTGCGGGGATCGCTTTTGTCAATCTGGTGATCTGCTGACTGGTGACGGATGATGGGGAGCAAAAAAAAATAGAGCCGGACGAGGCTGAACCATCTACACGTGACGGTTCGGGGCAGGTGCGGCGCAACTACTGGCATTCGGTATTCGGCAAATCCTCATGGCGTGAATCACGTTGTGGCAGAGACGCGTTCTCAAGGAGAGCCACTGACGTTTGCTGCCCGCTCAAGACATTGACAACCGCGAAGCGACGAGGGGTACACCAGCGGCTGTTCTCCCATTTTGGCGACGTAGCCTCATGAATTTATGGCGTGTCTGAGCTAAACGTTCAACGGCATCAACCAGGAGAATACGGCTGTCTCCTCAATTCCTCTCCACGTTCCTTCAATAGTCCTCGAAAAAGGGTTGGGGGGGTTGAACCTGTTGCATTTTCCAAATCAAGCCCTACATTGTTTCCAAGCAGTTTAACATGTGGTGGTGCACGGAAGAAACAACAGGAAACAGAGGATACATGAAAACGAACCCATGTATCACCCCCACAGACCAAGCCCGCACAAATGACAGCGGCCATCCTACCGGCGTACGGGGTATCAAATCCAGGTGGCTCTAACAACGTCGAAGATCTGCGACCCATGAGAGGGTGGAGCTGATAGGGTGCCATGCTCAAGCATACCACTACTGCCCTACAGGAGGGCGTAAATAACTCGCACGGAAAACGCTCCGAGGCCACAATCAGAAATGACACATGACACAGGATGAGGCGAACGCCTCCGGATATCGTTGAAAATAGAGCGCCACGAAAACACAGGGATCCCCACTCGTGTCGCTGAGTTCCAAGCCGGAAAATTGCATTAGTCCAGAAATACGCAAGGGCTTCGATACTTCCAAACAGGTGTTGAACTTTCTCGTACATACTACTTTGCATACGAAATGCATATTCATCTTTTGGATGCTGGGAGCATTGGTTCTCGCCTTTGTTGTGTACTGGGACACCATCTAAACACGTACTCATAATGCAAATGTTCTTGGCATGTGAGCAAAACAGCTGGGCACAGAGTATTTCGATCATTCTTCGGGTCCACATGTTGTAAATTCTCTGCGTTTGCAAGCGCAGTCTAAAACCATAGCACAGCATCAATTGGCACGCTTGCGGAATGGGAGGCAGAACACACCGGGCCAATAGTTTCGACTGTTGTTACGTTTACAGATATCACTCGAAGAGAAAGACAAAACTTTGAGTAAAGGGCAAGTGTCCCTGGATTATTCGCGATGAAGGTGGGAACGGCCTACTTGTACCATCCTTCGGGTGGATAGTGTACAGTCGTCCCCGCTGTAAAGACACACACCTTAAGTCAACTCCCCGCTTGAAAGACGCAAAAAAATCTCAGAAGCAGGATGCCCCGCAGGTGTACCACTAAACACGGTGAGAGGTACTGTGTTCAACAGTCGGGACCCCATGTCTACTTTCGTCATGCATGCGTTTTTCTGTCTCCGGAAAGTCAGGCAGTCCAATGTGTGGATCGTTTGCCGATTTTTCTCTTGCTAATAAGGCAGAGAGTCACAGCATAGAAATAGTTTTGTGTGCGACGAGCAGGCATTCGCCGATTCATCCGCCATCAAGAACCCTCGACTGCTGTGCTGCATTGTGCATGAACTCATGCACTCCGACCATAGACCACCATATTATTGCTCGTCGGAGGAGGAGAATACTCTCCGCAGTCGAGTGTGGCAGCAGCTTCGCTTGGTGAGACACATTTCGAGCAACACGATGAAGGGCTGGGTCACGTAGCACGTAGCACCAAGACAACTGCAGTACGTCCCAGCGGTGTTTTATTGTTGCGACTTGGTTTTCGGCGTCTCGTGTTTCAAAACTGATGACAAATATCGTGGACAAAAGGCCAAGAGCCAGGGGTGCATGTAACGGTAACGCCACACCAGCCAAGGGAAACTCCCAGGTTGGACAGACAAGCTCAGGAGTTTACGCATCCGCGAGCAGGAAATGGGAATTTGGTACTAGATTGAACGTCTCCTGTGAGGATTGATCTGCCGTTAATGCAGTGTGTCAATGGTGTGGATGGGTACAGGTGGTCACGCACCAAAGTCTGGTAATAAGTTCGAAGAACAAACTGTCGACGACAGGTTTCCGCGCATGGCGGTCTTGTTGTTTCTCCCAGGTGCTGTTGGTGCTTTACGCAAATATCTCATCCCGGGGCAAACAGCACGTTTTTGCGGAATCCTGCTCAGCCCCGGAAGCTATTGTGTAAAGTAATTCTTTTCACCTCCGCACATTTATTTAGTCAAATCGCCTCTGCAACAACAGTGAAAGCGTAGCCGCGCCACTGTAGAAGGCACGACCAACGAATATGCAGACGGAAGCAATGCGAGAGACGGAGGCATTAGTGAAACCATAATTCCGCCAAGGTCGTCATTGAAGCAGCATGCCTGAGCTACACAGCACGTTGAACGAAGTCTCCCATCTCGCGCCATTTCCTCGACTCACGGCGTGACGCAGGCACGGTCGGATGACACCAAGGAAGAAGATGGGAGGCGACAGGTTGAGATTTACCACCTCTCGCAGTCGTCCTTTGCGCTGATTGCTCACGCGGAGAGCGACATCGTTTCAGGGTAACGCCGAACATGTGTTTTTTCTTTTTTATCGTGACGGCAAGGACAGCGGAACACCAAAACAGTCCTTGCGGTGCCCCCCCCCGACTAAAGTCCCACCGAAAAACATGCAGCGGTGGCCACAGTGCTTCTGTCCCCCTCCTCTCTACGCGATGCACAATTATATATTGCTCACCATTTCGCGGTCTTACACATGTCCTGTGCCCGCTCCAGCCTGCTAAGGAGACTCCGACGCGAAGTCCCAACAGGGAAGGACGGCGGAGACGGCGAGGAAGAAAGGCGAAAGTCTGAGCGACGCCCTGTCGTTCTACAGAGGAGGGCTAGATTGAAAGAGTTTCTCCGCCCGAAGCTGCGAGACGAGACAGAGACCATGGGCACGTTTTCTCTGGAATTTATGGCCCGCCTTGGCATCTCTGGGCATTCGTCCGGCCAGAGGTGTGAGCATTGGAACATCGATGAACGAATTTATTAATGTACAAGCGGGCCAAACCAGGCGTTCAACCAACCCCCCTGGCTCTTGAGCGTCTCTCAGTATAACCTTTTAATACGTTGAAATCAAGAACTCTCTTGTACACGCAATGTCACCCCCCTCCCCCTCCATGTGATGGTGCGCAATCTTCGTCGCCGCGCGCCGGAATCAGCTTGAGAGCCATAAAGGGGTTTCACGCCACACCGTCCGACTTAACTCAGCGCGGTTCCGACGAAAATGTCACCGCTGACTGTGTCTACCGATCGCACCACCCTTGGAGAGCAGTGTGGGATCGGAACGCGTTCTGCGGGTACTGCGACCGGCTCGTGTCCATCGGTAACAACTTTCTGGGGTGCCTTGTTTGCAACTCGGTGGCGCACAGGAGCTGCCACTCCTCGAGCCTCGAGGTACAGCTCCCACCGGGACTCCCGGTCCGGTCATGGATATATTGTCGACCTTTTGTACAGTTTCCACGCGAAACGCAACCTCCCAATCGGTCTGGTGGAGTAGTACTGATAGCTTTGAAGTAAAAGCGGGGTGCATAGCGATGAAAAATATGTTTATCATGAGAATGTCTCGGAAATTCACGAGAGAGAATGTGGGTGTGGGCGCATTGGCGTGTGTGCTGCGGAGAAGAACCTGATGCGCCCTGACCCCTGGTCAACGGATTCAAAACCGTTCTTCATTGCATACCCATATTGACCTGCTGTCACTTGATTCCCAAACCAATATTCGGCTCATTACTCATACTGTCGCCAACCACATAGAGCGCACTAAATAACGTGCCGGGGCTCATCTCGGTTCCGGCTTGCTCTCGACCGAGGGTTGTGCTGCACTCAGGGCTTGGCCTTGTTTCCCTCAAAGTGAACAGGGTTTGACAGGAGGAAAACCAACCCGTGCCTGGTGTACAACACCAGCGCATCACTTGCTGCTACGGGGTGATGATCTCTGATCGACTTTTTTCGCATGAACCTTCGTCCCGCTCGACGCACTCTCGCAGGCGCTTGTGGGGAGCCTTCGTGAGGAGGCGGTACGGCGGATGGAAGAAGAGAAGGAGCACCAAGTAGAGTCCGTAGATCGAAACCAGGTCAGAGACAGAACCCATGCTCTCGTACAAAATCTATCCTCTTTTTGTCGTTTCGTTGCCACCTTCGCTTGGTGCCAGCGAAAATCGTACTGTGCGAATCGCAAGAGCTCAAATACTAGCTCTGGCGTGAACTGTGTGCCAACCACACCATTGAATCAAAAATGTGGGCAAGAATGACCCTACTGCCAACGGATGCGGTTGTCGAAAATTGAAAGAATCTAGAACAGTTGTTGGTAACCAGTGTGTCGTCGAGGGAGAAACGGCCAGGATGGCAGCTGGTCTGAGAGGTGGTAGCATCGTGTCGTTTCCGTTCCACCCCAGTCCCGTGAGCGTTGACCGTACAGACGTTTCTGCCTTTGTCTCCTTCTTGGTGCCCCTCTCGCGTGTTTTGGCCGTGCCCTTCGTCCTTGGCGATTTTCTCCACCCCACCCCGGGTTCCCCCCCCCGGTGTTTGCCATCGGGGTTGGGTTTTCGTCGCTTGGCAATGACGTTGTAAAACAAGCCGCCCCCCCCGGTGTTTGCCATCGGGAGTGGGTTTTCGTCGCTTGGCAAAGACGTTGTCAAACAAGCCAATTCACTTCGTGAACTCGGCAACCAGGTTACCGGTTTTTTTTTTACCTCAGTTTTTTATTTTTGGCGGTAACCACAATGGTGGTCGAGTAGATCATGTTGTGCGGGGT